CGAGAGCCCTAATTACTGAGTGGGTATACTCTGAACGCAGTAAGTACTGTAAATATCTATCGCAAAGAATCCTAATTTTTCTATAGTTGTTCACTTTCAACTACTACTCGGTCTGCTGGTTTTCCTTCAGTTCGACCCATTCTTAATTCAAGTTTAAATAATTTACTCTCATAGAAAAACAAAAAATACGTAGTTCCTTCAAAGTATTTGCTGTTAAAAGTTATTCGCAATAAATTATCCCTGCAGCGTTAACAACTTTCAATATAAAATGCAATTTCTCTAACAACTCCCTCTCAAATGCGTTGAAGTGGAAGGAATTGCATGGCGACATACGCATGTATGTATGTGATGTGACTTGTTTTTGTTGTGGAGTTCGCTTGTGACCGATTTGACCTCATTTCGTGTGACAACTTATGTGAATGCGACAATTGCGGTTGTAACTGCAGTAAAAGTGCCAACAGCACAACAACATGCGACCTGGAGTTCAAACTATGCAACTACTTTTGTAGGAGTAGATAGTAGACACACACATACATACATATGTATGTATGTATGTAAACAACAAACAAGCGGAACGCGACGCACTTATTTCCTGCATTCTCAATTCTCATTCTAATTCATATTCATATGCACACACACACACACACAAACACCTATTCGCACACTGACGTCGACATTTTCAATTTCATTTTATTTCTCCGCACTTTGTCTCCCCACCTTTCGATTCGAATTGAATTTGCTAGGCTCAGCGAGGAATATTTTATGCAAATTCCGCATTATAAAAATCGAATGCAGCAAAATGTTGACATCAAAGGTGACAAAACAACCGTACGCGCGTTGGTGCAATGACGACCAGTGCAGTGCGAGCAATAATCCCCCGCGTGCGCCCGCACCAACCGCTCGCTCATGCGCACCCTCGCAAGTCGCCATAGTGTCGTATGTATTTACATACATACCGTCGTCGCCAATGCGGTGTATTGATTGCGTGTGTTTGTCGGTGATTTGCTCATCATTGCAGCCAATAGGGCATACGCGATTCGCACCTGGAAGTGCACTTTTTTGTGATGGAGAGTAGAGAGGTGGCCTGCCTGTTGTGCACTTTCTTACCCACCGACCTATTATAGTAGCCATGAATAATTATTGCGGTGGCGGAAGCGTTGCCAATAGAATAATGTAAAATGGTAAATGCAAATGGAAAGTTTTGCTTTTTCTTGTCAAAGTTCAATAGCGTCTTACAAGAAGCAACGGCTATCATTTATATGGAACAGAAGGGAGTTAAATAATGGCACCGTATGGACTAATGAAAAAGAAATATAATAACGAAATGTTTTCAAGTCGTGAATTAATAGGAAATGCAAGAAGAGATCGTATAGAGAACCCCTGGCGGAATAACCTCACATACCTTTAATCGGAATTATTTGGGAAAAATTACATATAATAAAACGAATGAATTACGGAGAATTTTTACGAAGTTGACAATATCGCAAAATTTCATGTATTTTGGGGCTAGCCGTGTATCGCGGGACATTAATTGAATATGTATATCGCCCCAGCAAATTTTTCCATTCCAATACAGTTTCACTGATTTCGTGCAGGGTATGTGCCATTGCATGCAAGTACGTGACGTGTGCACGCCTGTACTGTACTGCGTTGCGTCGCACTTGCGGTGTCAATTCCATGTTGCGTGCATTTGCTATGCGGGAGGTCATCATGGCAACATTGCCATTTCATTTGCGAACCAATAACGCGGGCATATTTTTTTCGTCCACACCGCTGAACAATGTGCAGCTAGCTATTCGTATGTTCTTGTTGTTGTTGTGTATGCATTTGTAATCGGAAATTAGCATAGAAATGTGTAACAGTTAAATTTGCATTTTGCATTTTGCAAAACAAACTTCCGGCTGCAGGCAGCTTTAGGAAAAAAAATCTAGTGCAAAAGCAGAGAAATAGGATTTGGCCAAAGGAGAAGGAAATCAAAATGCAGCTACCTTTATACACTTATTGTTGTTGCACTGCGCATTAAGATTCAGCAAATGGGTCACAAACAGCGCGTTTATATGTCGGACGCGAACGAATTCCAACAAGCAAACGCTAAGATATGCGCGCGCGCGCGCTGACTTTAATTGCCAAACGGAATTGCGGCTGTGGCGTTGCAGCTAGTCCAAGTCGCATGCAACACGCAGCACATGCGCTTTGACATTTCGGTATTCGCGGCACATGTCATGGCGCGGCGGCTGATCAACGCCATCAAAAATCGCCATCGCCATCGCCATCGCCATCACTTTGATAAGTCAGCACCAGCAATCGCAACTATCGCCGATGAGGCTGCGGCCAACATTAGTGAGCATATCGGTATGCTGAGCATGTCACATGCCGCATGTTGCAAGTAAATATGTAAGTGTGCTTGCTGTTGGCTGCGCTAGAAGTTGGCGCAAGTAATTTACGTACGTATGTAGCTACTAGTTACACCAGCGATTGAGCGAATGTCTGTGGCAAATAGTCGCGTTTAATTATGCGACATGTTGCCCCATTGCCACAGCGGTAGCGGCAGCGGCAACAACAAGCTTAGCCAACAAAGTGTTTTCAATGTAAAAAGCAAGCTGCTTTGGCAATCGCTTCTACTGTAGTTGCTGTTGTTCGATTGCTGCTGCTGTTGCATTAGCAAATATTGTTAACAATTGTCGGCCACAAATGGCAATCATCGAAATCGATTTTCGGTTTGACACGACAATTGACATATGATTTCGATTTGTAGACATTCACGAGCCACAGCAACTCACCAACATAAATACTCGCTCGTACATATTGACAAAGTCGAGCCAGCTAGCCAACATAAAATTTACAACAACGCACACACTCGACATACATATATGTGTTTGTACAACATCTGATAGCAGTAATGACAACGCGCCGCATGTTGATGACAACAGCAACAAGGAGTAGTGACAACAATTGCCATTAGGTAGTTGCAGTGGTTTTTTCTTTGCTGTTGTTGCTGGTAATAGTATATGTTTTGGTGAACAAACGGCACATTGCTGATTGATTGGACATAAATAGATTGGTAGTACGCAAGTTGCATATCTATGTAGATACGGCTAAATACAAATAGTTTAGTGGCGAAGGACTAGCAGGACTAGAATATAGGTCAGTCAGCCAGTAACCCAATTAGTCGACACTAAAAACTTTCGGTTGAGTTCACAGGCATGTGCGTTTGCATTCAAAGAGTTTATAAGTGTTTACTTTCATTTGATTTTTTTTGGGCATGCGATGTGGTCTTTTGAAGTCTTTTCTCTCGCCTAGTGCTAATGCATACCACTAACCACTCGAGCACGGCTGCCGCCCCAAACTAAGTAGTTGGTAATTAGTATTTCGAGGTGCTATGATTGAAGCTCTTGCTCCGCTCCCTAAAGGTAGAAAGCGCACCTTATTTCAACCATCTTTGGGAATACAGTGCTTGAATACTTTAACCAATTCAAATGTTTGAGGGGGAGGTTTAGATGAAACTATCGCCTAGACAAAACGTTTAGTAAAGCCCATCCGAGAAATGTGATCCACAGAAGATTCTAAGACGTGAGACGAATAAAAAATAAAGCATTTTCAAGAAAGCGAACGTTTATCTTCGTAAGAATCGGCAATTTGAAGAAAATCGGAAAATCGGAAAGGCCCTCTGTAAAAAAGACTATTTTAGACAGTAAATTCTAGTCAGACCAACCAAGAAAAACTGGATGGATAACAGGCGCATTTCCAGACAGTTCGCTGTTGAAAGAAAACAATTTGTAAGTTTGCGAGTTCTTCGAGTTAGTACTTGGAAGCGGAGAGGGAACCGGTTTTCTTTACGCCAGGAATAACCTGAATAATAGATCTGATAGCACTAAAATGTTTACATTCTAAAATATTTGCTGGATCTACTAATTATTCTATTCTGTTCGTATGAAAGTAGAAGCTACGAATAAGTTAATCTTTCCCGGGCAAGGGCAATAATTACTTTGTAGGAATTCGTCGAAATAATTTCCTTTATAATATTCATTAATAGTGGGATTCATGAAACGTCGCAAAGTTTTTGTAAATATTTGCAATCCGGGGTTGCGATAGGTCGTTCATGCAACTTTGATCGCAACGTTGCCATTTCGCCAAAAGTGCCACCTTGAGACGTTCTATGAATAGCGCTAATGTAAAAGTTCAATAAAGTTGGCGAATGGACAAGCAAAAAAGCATAGCTTATTGTTCAATTATTGTTCAATTACCCAACGACAGAGCATTCTTCCGTACTCGCCATCCGTATCACCATATAAGAGAGAGAGAGAAAAATAAAAATAAAAACAAAACAAGTTGAAGTTTGAAAGTTTGGCTCTCATGAGAGCAACGTCAAAATGACTTCTACCCAAAATGTATTCAACAAAGTGTGATTGAATTTGACATTGCTCTCAGAAGAACCATCCTATAAAGTCAAATTGAAAAAAAAAAATTGTATGAATTTTGAATCGATTGTTTATATTTTTTGGCATAATAGTACCTTAAAAGAGAGCCTACCTGAGTTGTCAATCACACCTTGTTTAATACACCTTGGTTGAATACATTTTGCTTCTACCCATGTAAAAGTATACAGTAAGGTAGAACCGCTGAGAGACACTTTTAAAATTCTTGACGTTTCCAAGCAATTTAATTTTAAAATTTACTCACAAACTCGCACACACATTTTCATTTTCAATCTCAAGCAACAACGATTTCGAACAATTTCATGGTTTTTATTGTGCTTCTACCTGTATTTATGTGCCTTGCTTCAAACGCTTTTGTTTGTTTTTGACATTTGGAATTTTTCAAAACAAACTCAACGAAATAAATAAATCTTTGGTATTTGGGTATACAAATTGTTAACTTACGCATAAATTCTAACAGTTTTAGTTAAATCAAAGAATAAATGCCAAAAATAAAAATTGTCATTTAAAATAAAAATTTGAAAACTTTTCAAGCTTTTATACGCGCCTTTCTTTTATCGGACTATGATTTACGCCAAGTAATTGTGAATTTTTTTTACTAGCAAATGATCTATGTACATAGCAATTCTTCCTCCACAGCTCAAGGGATGCCTACGATCCTTACCAGCATCGAGTGATAGAAAATCCGTTGAGGTGCGTTGTGAAAAAACTTCATTCTACGTTTCATATTTGTGTCCTCTATACAATTTGCAGCAATCTCGAGGTATATATCAGCTTGCTGAAAGCCTCCATAGGCATTGGCTGCTTGGCTATGCCCAAGGCGTTTCAAGCTGCTGGCTGGCTCAATGGCCTAATGAGCACCATTGTGGTTGGTTCAATTGTGATATTCGCTCTGCATGTTTTGGTAAGTGAACACACTAGAAATAATTATGTTTAAAGAAACTACAAGTTCACTGATCTCCGCAGTTGCATAGCATCTACGAACTCTGTAGGAGAAAGCGTGTTCCTCAACTAAATTATCCGGACGCGATGGCACTCGCCTTGGAAGCAGGTCCAAAGTATTTGCGTTTCCTAAGCTTTACTGCGCGGTTTGTATGAAAATTGCATTACCTACATACATACATACATCTACTAAAACGGGGAATGTTAAATGCGAGCTCATCGCAGTTCTACCATAGATTTCATATTGGCCTTCTACCACTTTGGTGTCTGCAGCGCTTATGTGGTCTTCATTGCGGACAACCTGCGGGAGCTGACCGACTACTATGGCTACACATTCGACGTACGATTTTATATATTCGCGCTGGCTGCGCCGCTGGTATCAATTTATTTAATACGCGACCTGAGGAGCCTGGTGCCGTTGAATGCGCTTGCGGATGCTATGATTTGTATAAGTATTAAGTGGTTCTGTGTATGTGTACCTGTAGAAATGGACTAGGTTGATGGAAAATTTTTTATTTCGTAGGTCTTTGCATAGTATTTTACTACGTCTTGAGAGAACTGCCGCCGCTTTCCGATCGCAGAGCCGTTGGTGATATCAAAGCCTACCCTTTGTTCTTCGGCACTGTACTCTTTGCCATCGAGTCAGTGGGTGTGGTCTGTATGATCAAATGCTTTGCAAGAAATGATCTTTGATTTATTGATTGATTGAGCAGATAATTTCAAT